GCAGATCTAGGATTATCTAAAAAGAAGGATGAATTCTCTTCAAAAGACATGATTTATGGAGTAATGCCCGGAGTTTGCCTTTTCGCCTTTCACTGTGGGTTTCGCCTTTCGCTGTGGGTTTCGTCTTTCGTCAGGGGTTTCGTCTTTTGTCAGAGTTTCGTCAGTTTCATCTTTCGACGGGTTTAGGTTTCGTCTTTCGTCATTTCCCAAAAACAGTTTCGTCTAACAACTATACTTTCAGCACAAAAAACACCAAAGAGCTCAGTAATAAGCGAAATAAATGTAATAATAGGTTTCATTATCTATCGTGTAAATACCCTTCTCATAAAGAAATGACTGACTACTTGGTTACATAGCAAATAAAACAACAGCAAGGAATAGATGCTTAAAGTTTTCTTATTTTTTATCCATATAAAAATAAAAAAAAACAAGATACGTACAACAAATGCTTTATTAGCAATCTTTAACTGAAGTTACCAATTTAGGCACACTAACTAAAATTAACACCTGAAATTAGATCTACCTTGCACGTATTAGTTAATTTCAAGATATTGGGTAACGCAAAAGAAGTGCAAAAAAAATCAAAACGTTCGTAGTTCAAATTTTGCCTATGAAAGTGCCTTCCGCGTCCCAACAAAAAATTTCCACGTGAATTTTACTATAAATATAACCCATTTAAACCAAACATTAACCTACTGGTCGGACCCTACCCTAAACTAATTGGGAAACAAATGTTTTTAATAAGATCGTATAGAGTTCCAATCCACCCTTTTTGATTATCCGGGTTAGAGGTTTTAATAATTCGGGTTGATCACGTGAATTTTGCGATATTTTGGAAATTTATCCAATTAAATTTTAATAAATTCTAAAATATCACAAGATTCACGCGATAAACCCGAATTATTAAAACCGGCCCCAACCTCTAATCCGGATAATTCGGATATTCGGATAATTATCTGGATATCAATAGTAAACGGATATAAAAATGGATATCCGAATAAATTCATAAATGGATAAACAGATCATGGATAGGGACGCTATAAGCATGACATTACTTAAACCAAAAATCGTCCGTAACTAGAAATTTTATCTATGAAAAAAGTTTCCTTGCAAATTTTGGTATAACTATATAACCTTATAACCCTAACCTACTTGCAATACCCTAACCCTAACCTAATAGCGAAAAGCTTTTTCTTGGTTTTGCAATAAGATCACATGATGCAAAAATTTTTAGACTGACTCATAACTTAAACCTGTTTTGTCGATCCTTCGGCCTAGATTGATCGATATCGGCCTGCATTAGGCTGATTTTGAAGTTAAAATAAGGTTTATACACACGTACCATGGGTATGCACGTTTATTAAATTTACAGTAACACAGTGCATCTTTTTCCTTTATGTACTCAACAAATTTCTTTTCGTTATTGAGATATTATCAACCATTTGAATTATTTAACAATGACGGAAACCAAGACTCCTTCTTCTAATTCTCGTGATGACGTACTTCAGTTTCTTGAAACTCTTGATACGTATTCGCAAACTACTGCTGCAACAAGCCCTGCTACTGGAGCACCGGGCAGCACACAAGCTGACACCACGCAATCTGTGCTTGATTTTCTCGATCAAATCACTCAATCTACTCCTGCCTCTAACCCTTCTGAATCAAATCCTAAACAAGGCAGTCAACCCAATTCTTCTGTAAAACAAAATGTTTCTGCTGAACAACAAACTAATCAACCTGAATCTCAAAAACAATCAGCTGCTTGGTCATGGGGTGGTTTATTAGCGACTGCAACCACCGCCTACCAGACTGCATCAACTGTGGTTGATAATTCTGTTAAAGAGGCCTTAGAAACTGTGCGAACTAATGAAGCTACTAAAAAATTTGAGGAAAGAGTTCGTGGAATTGTAAATAAAGATGCCATTGAAAAATTAGGTTTGTAATTATATTATTATGATTATTATGCTTTGTTACATTCTCAGAATCTTCATTTATTTTTTCGCGTATGTTTTAAAAGGTTCCGATCTCAAAACTCTTAGTCTGAATACTATTACAACGGTGGTTAACGCCGTAGTCCCTCCAATTTCACAATATGAAGTTGTAGAAGTTTGGTTGTCTCATGATATGGTTGGGTATGTTGGTTTAGAATCTCTCGTATATAGAGCGTTTATGAAAGTTATGGAGCAAGTTGAAGGGGGAGATGTAGTAGTCCGAAAAAGTGATGAAATAAAACGTGATCCGGATGATGATTCTTACAGAGATTTGAATGTTTGTGAAGGTTTTATTGAAGCTGTTGGCCTTGCCAAGGTATTTAATAGTTATCAGGCAGTCACTACCTATAACTGGTTTATTTGGTCAGAAAATTTTGAAGGAATTCAATTTAGGGTCTTTTGATCAAATAATTAATTTATAAGTCATCTGTATGACTTATAACGTATTTATCCAATAATTTACGAAAACTATGTAAAATTTTTTATAATGCAACTGCTTACTTATTTATCACTTTGATTGTCTTTATTTAGGCTAATATTGAACAAGTCATCAAGAAACACTACAACCCATCACAAATTGATAATGAAAAATCCGAAAGCACTGACAAATCTATATGTCCTGTTTTCATGGCTATTCAGCCTACTAAAGCAAATCCTTATTCTCTTCAAAACAAATCCGAAACTGATCCTGATCCTGATCAATACTTATTCTATGTTATTGTTTTGAATGACCCAACTCATAACCTCACCTTTAAAACCTTCTCACAAGCACTTCCTGTTAATTGGTTAGATGTTCCATATGAAGAAAACGAATGGGTGGAAGCTAAAATGGTCTCTGTTATCAAGTTGGCTGTTCAATCAATAGCTCAAGATTATGTTTGGCATCGAATGACTGCAAGTGATGGTCAACCTCAATCTAATGATGATAATTCAAACATTGCATCTTAATATATTAATTTTTAATAATATTTCGTTGTAAAATTTTTTTTCGCCTGATTTATGATCTTTTTGTTATTAACTATAAGTATGATTTTTAATTTATCAAGGTATTTACGTTTTGTCAACTTATCGAATGGTACTTTATTTAAGAAGGTACTATGTTCAAATATATATCAACGTGTATTTTTTTTAATGTTAATAAATATCAATACATTTGGTTGTGAAAGCGTTATCTACAAACATCTGTTACTTGTAATAATAATATCAAAAAAATTATATTATGACGTTCTATTGTTATCAAATATAAAATTAAACAACTAAAATTATGTTCGGTAGTTATAATTTGAAAGTTGATCAAGCACAAATTTGTATAAACAGTTTAATTATATAAAGTTTATATTTCATATCAATTTAATCATGAAAAACAGCTTCATGCATATATTAGTTAAAAATTAAAAATTTTGCTGGATCACTACGCAATTATTATCAAATTTAATGATAACTATAAGATACCTAGTTTTTTGTATATAAATAAAATTTATTTTATACGGATCTCTTGCAATATAGATGACGCATTAATAAATGTATTATTTATCAATCGATTTAGAATAGGTATCACCTAACTCTCGATATAAGAACCTAACTTTTGATATGTATAAGAAAGATTTTATAAGTTTCAGCTACACTGGCAATCATAAATAATGCACGTAATAATTTTATAATAAAACATAGTAACTCTTGAAATTTTCACTCATTAATAAAAATTTTTCTAAAAATTTTTAAAAATGATTTTTTTTACTCGGAATAAATTTCATCAATTGTAATTTCTAAAAAATATTTTTTCGGATTTTTTAAAAATATTTATGGCAAAGTTGTTCTAAGGTCGAAACCCTAGTAAAAAAATTTATAAGTAATATTTATAAAATTTTTTTACTAGGGTTTCGACCTTAGAACAACTTTGTCATAAATATTTTTAAAAAATCCGAAAAAATATCTTTTAGAAAATTTTTTTTTTTATTTTTTTTTTTTAAGGTGACCTCTTTGGTCCTTTGATTTTTATTAACGGTTTTTTGGTAATGTGATTCTATGAACCACTACAGGAGAGTGTACAATTGGCTACACGTGTAACTTTTCTATATTACCTATTTAAGGAGTCCACCTGAAGGTTCTTCATCAATTGTCATACCTAACATCCTTGCTTGGGTGTTTCACTTTAAACCCTCTGAACCTGTAACCTGTGTTAACTCATTGGGTCATACCCAGATGTTCAGATCATCATCTTTAGAAAATTTTTATTATATAGTGAAAATTTCAATAATTATTGTATTGTGTTATTTATGATTGTCAGTATAAATGATTATATTATATTATCTAGTTTAGTTGGCTATGTTGTTTAGTTATAATTATTTAAAACATTAAAGTTATCTTATGAATTATTTTAAGTAAAGTTATCAATTAGTTTATATAATAATTTCAGGTATTTTACTATACTTTGTCTATTGATATATAATTCTATTTATTTTTTTATTTTCTTATTGTAAATTTTCAATATAAAATTTTATTAATTAAATATGAAAATATTTTAAATTTATTATTTTCTTTTTTTTTAATGTTAAAGTTCTATCTTTAGCAGTAAAGTTTTTATAGACATGGGTGTTTCTTTAATTCATCTTTGATAAAAAATTTATTAGAATCTTTAATATTTCATATACAATTGAGTGATATTTTAATATAATAAATTATATTGTTAAGCTTTTAAAATGATAATGTTGTAAAGAAGTTTTAAAAAATATTTTTTAAAAAATTTAAACAATAATTTTGTATTAGAAATATATTAAAATATTATATAAAATATACTAGTTTAAATTTTATATTAAATAAATTTAAAAAATTTAATAATATTAATCACTAAAAGAGTTTTATTCATTTAATATTTAAAAAATTTGATTTTTATTAGTTTATTAGCATTCTTTGTTCATATTTTATAAAGAAATATTTTTTATAAATTCTAATTGTTATATAGATTTTTTTTTTTAAAGTGACTTCTTTGGTCTTTTGATTTTTATTAATAACTTTTTTGATAATGTAATTTTATAAACTATTGTAGAAAGAGTATATAATTGGCTACACATATAACTTTTTTATATTACCTATTTAAGGAGTTTGCTCAAAGGTTCTTCACCAATTGTTATATTTAACACTTCTGCTTAAGTGTTCTATTTTAAATCTTCTGAACTTGTATCTATATTAATATTGCTAGATTATGTTCAGATTATCATTTTAATCTTAGGATTGTTTTATTCTCAAGATAAACCTTCTGAAGCCTTCTATATTTATTTTTATAACTAACTCAATATTGCTATAATAGGACCAACACTTGCAGTCAGAGTTATATTATTTAATTACTATATTCTTGTAGAGGTTATTTGAACCTTAGCAGCTATTTTATAACATATCTCTGATACTTTAGTATACTTCTATCTGTTTTCTAAACTTTTAATCTAGATAGATTATATAAGACTATGACTAGTTTATTTATATATCAGGTTGGTTCAATATTTTTTTCTCTGTTTCATTCTGATAATTTAATTGGTAGTATCTCTAGGACTTCTAACTTAGAGGTTTTTGTCTATTCAGATATTTCAACATTAGTATCTGTTTTCTTAATCTAGTCTTTACAGTAGTATTATTAAAAATCTATGTTATTTTTTTATTTTAGTCTTTTTAATAGACTTTTTGTTTCTTAATTTTAACAGATTTATATAACTATAAGGATTTATCTAAAGTTTGCATTGTCTGATGCCAATTTGTATTTTTTTATATAACTAGTTACACAGATGCCTTATAACCTATCAGTCATACTAATGCAATTGTTATTACAAATATCTTAATTTTTTTTTTTTTTTTTTTTTTTTTTAAACCTTAAGCAGTTACGCTAATACTTTATAAAGATTCTTGTAACTATATACCTACATAATTACATAGAATTTCCTAATACTTAAGTTTAGCATCACTCAGCCACCCTAATGGTACCTAAGTGCAACCTGCTGCACTACCTCAGT